TGGGTGTCAAGAATATGTTGTGTATTCCTCATTCACTCCATCTAGTTCTTGGTGGCGCACTGGCACGACAAAAGGGAGACTCTGCGCTCGCTGTTACGGATGCTTCGGGCGCTAATGAAGAAGATCAAGCCGACGCTAGACCAGCACTAACTACTGCAAACTTTGTGGCAAACCAGCCTGTGGATGATGATGAAGTTGTCGAAGCGTCTGAGCTGGAGCAAGAAGCAGCGATCATTGAGCTCGAAAAGTTCATAGCAAGCTCACCCACTAGGTACGGAGAAGCACTAGCACGCGTCCGTGGAATCGTTCAGCGATTTCGAGCACTAGCTACCTATTTCCACAAGTCTGCCAAGGCTACAAACCGTCTCGATGAAATCCAGATCAAGGAGTGGAAAAGGTCAGCCCTGCATTTGATTACCGACTGCCCAACACGATGGAACTCGTGTCGGGACATGCTCGCTCGTTTGATTGAGCTTGAGGCCCCCTTGGATAGTTTTTTCACGTACCTCGAGACGCCCGAAGGAAAGAAGGAGTTCAAGGATTTGAGTCAAGACAAGTACCCAAAACCAAATGAATGGTTTGTGATTAAGTGCTTAGTGGCGATGCTGGATCCGATAGCCGCTGTGACTAAGGTGCTGGGAGGATGTTATTACCCCACGTTGGCGTTGGCGTTCCCCATGTTGCGTCGCATCAAGAAGGTGCTGCAAGACTCGTCCATATTCACCAAGCAGGCTGCGCTAGCTGGACGCCAAGAATTCCAAGCCGATATGCTGTCACTTATGCAGCAAGCACGCCAGGCCATCTTGGACCTCTTCAAGTCACGTTTTACCGGAATGGATTTTGACCTAGTTTGGATTTCGTTTCTAGACCCTCGCTTTCACAAAATGAAGTTGCTCAAACAAGACGAGATCGATCTTGCTAGGCAGTGTCTGTTGGATGCTGCAGCAATAGCCGCTCGCAACTTCTTAGGGAGATCAGCAACACCCGATCACGGCTCCCGAAGCATTCCTCCGTCTCGATCTCCAAGCGACGATACCACCGGTGTCTGGGATGACCTGCTGGGCTCGGACAGTGAAGACGACAGCTCGCCTGAAAGCGACGACCCGACACTCCAAAGCCTGCGGCTCAACTGTTCGAACGAGTTCGTAGCCTACCTAGAAGCGGCTAAGTCTGTCCCCCGTAAGCAAGACCCGCTCGTGTGGTGGTCTGTCAACGGCCATAACTATCCGTCCCTCGCTCTTCTCGCACGGAAATGGCTTGGGTGTGTTGCTACGTCGGTGCCATCGGAACGAGCTTTCTCTACAGCGGGAAACACGGTGACTGCAAAGCGATGTCAGATGGATGTTAACCTTGTGCGAGATCTAGTATTCATTGCCGAAAATGCAGGTCTAAAGAAGGGTAAATAGTTTTTTCATTGCCACGAGTTTCTTATGTCCCCTCGAATGCGCTGTACGTAATGCATTCAACCCAAATGACACAATGACAATGTGAGAACTGTGGCAGCGTGTTGCATTTAATACACCTTAATGATGTGCAGTTGGACACTGGAGGTAGAAGCGTTTCCGGGGATGCACACCGGGATTGCTATCGCTCGTGGCTTAGAAGATATGGTGGAGCGCTGGGAGTTGCACCCTGATATGTGCACACTGCTGCTCCGCGACGGCGCTTCAAACGCCGTGCTTGGCAGCGATATTCTGGGTGTCAAGAATATGTCGTGTATTCCTCATTCACTCCATCTAGTTCTTGGTGGCGCACTGGCACGACAAAAGGGAGACTCTGCGCTCGCTGTTACGGATGCTTCGGGCGCTAATGAAGAAGATCAAGCCGACGCTAGACCAGCACTAACTACTGCAAACTTTGTGGCAAACCAGCCTGTGGATGATGATGAAGTTGTCGAAGCGTCTGAGCTGGAGCAAGAAGCAGCGATCATTGAGCTCGAAAAGTTCATAGCAAGCTCACCCACTAGGTACGGAGAAGCACTAGCACGCGTCCGTGGAATCGTTCAGCGATTTCGAGCACTAGCTACCTATTTCCACAAGTCTGCCAAGGCTACAAACCGTCTCGATGAAATCCAGATCAAGGAGTGGAAAAGGTCAGCCCTGCATTTGATTACCGACTGCCCAACACGATGGAACTCGTGTCGGGACATGCTCGCTCGTTTGATTGAGCTTGAGGCCCCCTTGGATAGTTTTTTCACGTACCTCGAGACGCCCGAAGGAAAGAAGGAGTTCAAGGATTTGAGTCAAGACAAGTACCCAAAACCAAATGAATGGTTTGTGATTAAGTGCTTAGTGGCGATGCTGGATCCGATAGCCGCTGTGACTAAGGTGCTGGGAGGATGTTATTACCCCACGTTGGCGTTGGCGTTCCCCATGTTGCGTCGCATCAAGAAGGTGCTGCAAGACTCGTCCATATTCACCAAGCAGGCTGCGCTAGCTGGACGCCAAGAATTCCAAGCCGATATGCTGTCACTTATGCAGCAAGCACGCCAGGCCATCTTGGACCTCTTCAAGTCACGTTTTACCGGAATGGATTTTGACCTAGTTTGGATTTCGTTTCTAGACCCTCGCTTTCACAAAATGAAGTTGCTCAAACAAGACGAGATCGATCTTGCTAGGCAGTGTCTGTTGGATGCTGCAGCAATAGCCGCTCGCAACTTCTTAGGGAGATCAGCAACACCCGATCACGGCTCCCGAAGCATTCCTCCGTCTCGATCTCCAAGCGACGATACCACCGGTGTCTGGGATGACCTGCTGGGCTCGGACAGTGAAGACGACAGCTCGCCTGAAAGCGACGACCCGACACTCCAAAGCCTGCGGCTCAACTGTTCGAACGAGTTCGTAGCCTACCTAGAAGCGGCTAAGTCTGTCCCCCGTAAGCAAGACCCGCTCGTGTGGTGGTCTGTCAACGGCCATAACTATCCGTCCCTCGCTCTTCTCGCACGGAAATGGCTTGGGTGTGTTGCTACGTCGGTGCCATCGGAACGAGCTTTCTCTACAGCGGGAAACACGGTGACTGCAAAGCGATGTCAGATGGATGTTAACCTTGTGCGAGATCTAGTATTCATTGCCGAAAATGCAGGTCTAAAGAAGGGTAAATAGTTTTTTCATTGCCACGAGTTTCTTATGTCCCCTCGAATGCGCTGTACGTAATGCATTCAACCCAAATGACACAATGACAATGTGAGAACTGTGGCAGCGTGTTGCATTTAATACACCATAATGAAGTAATATGGAGAACCTGGTTCGGGCAGCTCCCGCACTGGTCGCACGCGACTACACGCTGAGGATGCTCAAGTTGGCCATCGCACGCTACTTGAGCATCTTGAAGTCGTATTAGTCCGTCAGCAGGACGTAGCAGAGCACAAGATGCTCCCGCGGCCTTTGTCGACCAGACATTGAGCGGCAATGATATCAGGTCGCTGCGGTAAGAAGTAGACTTGGTCGTTCGTATGCAGCTGGAAAGTTGAAGTGGGCGGCAGCGGCGCCATGACGTCGGCGTTCAGCGGATCTGCCTCGGAGCTACCGTCGGGTCCGCGTTCTTGTTGAGCTGTCGGAGCACGGACGCGGTGCCTTTACTTACATGGGCGCCGCCGCCTTGGATCTCACTTTCCGTCTTCGCAGGGTCCACGGTGGTAGCCTCGTCGTCCGTAGGCACGACGAGCAGGTTCTCGACTTCGGACGCGACCTTGCAGCTGAATGAGTACGTGCTCTCGGGGTCCAGCGTCGGGTGCCTTCACCGTGCTGCAGTCGTAGCGCTCCTTCCGGTTGCATGCGCTCGGCGTGCTGCGCGTCAAGCAGATCACGGTCGTGCAGTAAGTCTTCTCCGTGCTTGAGGTCACGTAGCAGGCCATGTTATCCACGAAGGTTTCCTCCTCGGCGTTGAGCTGCACCAATTACTTGCCAAGAGCGGTGATCTTCGGCGTCCCGTGCTGCTGTTAAGCGCCACCTGCTCCGTGTCCGCATCCCACACAAGCTTGTACACCTTCTCGGCCATGAATTTGCGTGTCTGGGTCTGGTGCAGCACCTCTACGACCAGCAGTGCCGAGCCCTTCAACGAGCTGAGGTCTTGAGAGGTGCAGGCGACAACATCCTGGAGAGCGTAGGAGGCGGAGACCAAGAGAGCCATTTGTGGCTACAACGTTCCCAGAGTGCCGTTCCACACCAACCTCACGGCTGCCCTCGTCGTCGTTAAAGGTGGATCGTGTAGCAGGCAGCGATCCATGATAGTGAGCTTGGGCGTGATGTAGCTGGCGAGGTTCAGGTCAAGTCTTCCTGCAGTGCCCAGCTTCAGCTACGCGTTTTGTCCGCTGGCACAGGATCCGGATTACGGTTAATGAACATTTTGTTCAACCTCAACCTGCGTTTATAACGTTGAGTAAAACCTTGAGGTTGGACTGAATGTTGAGAAGCCTACTCGGCATCGAGCAAGAGGATCATCAAGCAAAATTGACAAAAGGTGCTCCGAGCAACAATCCACAGACTTCGATGACCGCTGACCGGCGTTGGGAAAAGCTCACGGGCAGGGAGGGGTATATGCGTAAATCGCCTCATATCGATATGATTCGGAGCTCCACCAGCTAGCAGCGTACCAACAGTCCAACAACAGAGGGGCTACAGAGACGACCTCGACATCGCGTTGAGCGCCTTCCCGCTCCAAGTTGGAGTGGGTGTGCGTATGGCTCGGTGGGGTGCGTGTTCGAGGGTGACAAGCTCGGGTTGACGGCTGTCGAAGCGCGCGATCAATCGAGTTGTTTGAGGTTTTATGATCTCGTGTGCGTGTTTGTCTGTCTGTCTGTCTGTCTGTCTGTCTGTCTGTCTGTCTGTCTGTCTGTCTGTCTGTCTGTCTGTCTGTCTGTCTGTCTGTCTGTCTGTCTGTCTGTCTGTCTGTCTGTATGTGTGTAGCCGGTTAGTTTGGCGCGCGTGTTGGCGGCCTTGCTGTGTTGTTTGCTTTGATGGGTAGGACAGGCGGTGTTTGATAGAGTATGCGTGGTTGACATGGTTGTTTGTGCGTCGTTTGGTGTGTGTTTTTGTGTGTTTGATCGTGGAATGTGCACCGTTGGTCTAATGGTTAGGATTCATCCCTTCCAAGGATGAGGTCGGGGTTCGATTCCCCGACGGCGCATCTTTTGCCAGCTGTTCTTGCACATCCCCCGTCTTTTGCGCGCTTTTGGGCCGATGCGCGTGCCTCACGGCGTGCGGGCAAGCCCCCTCGACCTCTGGCTCGTGGCGATACTTGTTTTCTCCTGTTCAGCTGCGCCTGAACGCAAGAAAACTGCAGACGCAACCACGCGCTCCCAGGGCTAAGTTGGTGGGTTGGGGGCGGTCCACACAGGGTGTTGGACAGTGCGTGGTGTGTTGTCGGTATCGAGTGGGGCGGTGCGTTGGCGTTGGGAGCGTTTTGTTTTGGCTAGGGTTGTGTTCTTGTGGGGTTTGTTTGTGGGTAACATGGGTATTGTCTGGCGCGCCGTTGGTCTAATGGTTAGGATTCGTCCCTCCCACGGACGAGGTCGGGGTTCGATTCCCCGGCGGCGCACGCCTTCCCTTGTTTGTCGTGACCGGTCAGCGGTCATCGAAGTCTGTGGATTGTTGCTCGGAGCACCTTTTGTCAATTTTGCTTGATGATCCTCTTGCTCGATGCCGAGGGCCCAGCCGCATTTTCAGCGCTGCGCTGGCCCATACCAGTCTCCCCAGGCCCTCAACAGCCGCGCCATTCAGCCTACAGATGTTACTTTGACGAGCAGGACGCCCAGATCCGAGTGCGATAGTTTGTGCTTGCTACACCGACCCTACAGGGTTGCGTTGGGAAAAGCTCACGGGCAGGGAGGGGTATATGCGTAAATCGCCTCATATCGATATGATTCGGAGCTCCACCAGCTAGCAGCGTACCAACAGTCCAACAACAGAGGGGCTACAGAGACGACCTCGACATCGCGTTGAGCGCCTTCCCGCTCCAAGTTGGAGTGGGTGTGCGTATGGCTCGGTGGGGTGCGTGTTCGAGGGTGACAAGCTCGGGTTGACGGCTGTCGAAGCGCGCGATCAATCGAGTTGTTTGAGGTTTTATGATCTCGTGTGCGTGTTTGTCTGTCTGTCTGTCTGTCTGTCTGTCTGTCTGTCTGTCTGTCTGTCTGTCTGTCTGTCTGTCTGTCTGTATGTGTGTAGCCGGTTAGTTTGGCGCGCGTGTTGGCGGCCTTGCTGTGTTGTTTGCTTTGATGGGTAGGACAGGCGGTGTTTGATAGAGTATGCGTGGTTGACATGGTTGTTTGTGCGTCGTTTGGTGTGTGTTTTTGTGTGTTTGATCGTGGAATGTGCACCGTTGCTCTAACGGTTAGGATTCATCCCTTCCAAGGATGAGGTCGGGGTTCGATTCCCCGACGGCGCATCTTTTGCCAGCTGTTCTTGCACATCCCCCGTCTTTTGCGCGCTTTTGGGCCGATGCGCGTGCCTCACGGCGTGCGGGCAAGCCCCCTCGACCTCTGGCTCGTGGCGATACTTGTTTTCTCCTGTTCAGCTGCGCCTGAACGCAAGAAAACTGCAGACGCAACCACGCGCTCCCAGGGCTAAGTTGGTGGGTTGGGGGCGGTCCACACAGGGTGTTGGACAGTGCGTGGTGTGTTGTCGGTATCGAGTGGGGCGGTGCGTTGGCGTTGGGAGCGTTTTGTTTTGGCTAGGGTTGTGGTTCTTGTGGGGTTTGTTTGTGGGTAACATAGGTATTGTCTGGCGCGCCGTTGGTCTAATGGTTAGGATTCGTCCCTCCCACGGACGAGGTCGGGGTTCGATTCCCCGGCGGCGCACGCCTTCCCTTGTTTGTCGTGACCGATCAGCGGTCATCGAAGTCTGTGGATTGTTGCTCGGAGCACCTTTTGTCAATTTTGCTTGATGATCCTCTTGCTCGATGCCGAGGGCCCAGCCGCATTTTCAGCGCTGCGCTGGCCCATACCAGTCTCCCCAGGCCCTCAACAGCCGCGCCATTCAGCCTACAGATGTTACTTTGACGAGCAGGACGCCCAGATCCGAGTGCGATAGTTTGTGCTTGCTACACCGACCCTACAGGGTTGCGTTGGGAAAAGCTCACGGGCAGGGAGGGGTATATGCGTAAATCGCCTCATATCGATATGATTCGGAGCTCCACCAGCTAGCAGCGTACCAACAGTCCAACAACAGAGGGGCTACAGAGACGACCTCGACATCGCGTTGAGCGCCTTCCCGCTCCAAGTTGGAGTGGGTGTGCGTATGGCTCGGTGGGGTGCGTGTTCGAGGGTGACAAGCTCGGGTTGACGGCTGTCGAAGCGCGCGATCAATCGAGTTGTTTGAGGTTTTATGATCTCGTGTGCGTGTTTGTCTGTCTGTCTGTCTGTCTGTCTGTCTGTCTGTCTGTCTGTCTGTCTGTCTGTATGTGTGTAGCCGGTTAGTTTGGCGCGCGTGTTGGCGGCCTTGCTGTGTTGTTTGCTTTGATGGGTGTGAGCGCGCAGGACAGGCGGTGTTTGATAGAGTATGCGTGGTTGACATGGTTGTTTGTGCGTCGTTTGGTGTGTGTTTTTGTGTGTTTGATCGTGGAATGTGCACCGTTGGTCTAATGGTTAGGATTCATCCCTTCCAAGGATGAGGTCGGGATTCGATTCCCCGACGGCGCATCTTTTGCCAGCTGTTCTTGCACATCCCCCGTCTTTTGCGCGCTTTTGGGCCGATGCGCGTGCCTCACGGCGTGCGGGCAAGCCCCCTCGACCTCTGGCTCGTGGCGATACTTGTTTTCTCCTGTTCAGCTGCGCCTGAACGCAAGAAAACTGCAGACGCAACCACGCGCTCCCAGGGCTAAGTTGGTGGGTTGGGGGCGGTCCACACAGGGTGTTGGACAGTGCGTGGTGTGTTGTCGGTATCGAGTGGGGCGGTGCGTTGGCGTTGGGGAGCGTTTTGTTTTGGCTAGGGTTGTGGTTCTTGTGGGGTTTGTTTGTGGGTAACATGGGTATTGTCTGGCGCGCCGTTGGTCTAATGGTTAGGATTCGTCCCTCCCACGGACGAGGTCGGGGTTCGATTCCCCGGCGGCGCACGCCTTCCCTTGTTTGTCGTGACCGGTCAGCGGTCATCGAAGTCTGTGGATTGTTGCTCGGAGCACCTTTTGTCAATTTTGCTTGATGATCCTCTTGCTCGATGCCGAGGGCCCAGCCGCATTTTCAGCGCTGCGCTGGCCCATACCAGTCTCCCCAGGCCCTCAACCCCCCCCCGCGCCATTCAGCCTACAGATGTTACTTTGACGAGCAGGACGCCCAGATCCGAGTGCGATAGTTTGTGCTTGCTACACCGACCCTACAGGGTTGCGTTGGGAAAAGCTCACGGGCAGGGAGGGGTATATGCGTAAATCGCCTCATATCGATATGATTCGGAGCTCCACCAGCTAGCAGCGTACCAACAGTCCAACAACAGAGGGGCTACAGAGACGACCTCGACATCGCGTTGAGCGCCTTCCCGCTCCAAGTTGGAGTGGGTGTGCGTATGGCTCGGTGGGGTGCGTGTTCGAGGGTGACAAGCTCGGGTTGACGGCTGTCGAAGCGCGCGATCAATCGAGTTGTTTGAGGTTTTATGATCTCGTGTGCGTGTTTGTCTGTCTGTCTGTCTGTCTGTCTGTCTGTCTGTCTGTCTGTCTGTATGTATGTGTGTAGCCGGTTAGTTTGGCGCGCGTGTTGGCGGCCTTGCTGTGTTGTTTGCTTTGATGGGTGTGAGCGCGCAGGACAGGCGGTGTTTGATAGAGTATGCGTGGTTGACATGGTTGTTTGTGCGTCGTTTGGTGTGTGTTTTTGTGTGTTTGATCGTGGAATGTGCACCGTTGGTCTAATGGTTAGGATTCATCCCTTCCAAGGATGAGGTCGGGGTTCGATTCCCCGACGGCGCATCTTTTGCCAGCTGTTCTTGCACATCCCCCGTCTTTTGCGCGCTTTTGGGCCGATGCGCGTGCCTCACGGCGTGCGGGCAAGCCCCCTCGACCTCTGGCTCGTGGCGATACTTGTTTTCTCCTGTTCAGCTGCGCCTGAACGCAAGAAAACTGCAGACGCAACCACGCGCTCCCAGGGCTAAGTTGGTGGGTTGGGGGCGGTCCACACAGGGTGTTGGACAGTGCGTGGTGTGTTGTCGGTA